GTAAAGAATACTCAATTATCAATTCTTATAGAGAAGTTTATAAATTTCCATGGTCTCTTTGGAAGAAGACTCTGGTAATCTCTGTTAAAGCTTTTATTTTGGCCCAATTCCAATTTCTAGAAATTCATCTCAGAAAAATTACACTCATGTACGCTCAGAGTATACCTTCAGGGGCCTTCACAGCAGTATTGTTTATTTTTGTGGTAAATATGAATAATTTAAACATCTATAAGGACCATAGTCCTTAAAATAGACTCACACTTGACTTCCATAGTATCAATAGAGTTATGGGAGGAAAAAATCTAGATAGAAGTGTGATAAGGGCTGTTATGGCATCTGAATGGAATTGCAAACATTAAGTGTAGATTGTTCTTCTGAATGCTTTGCCTAGATGCAGAAGGCACAGAAGACAGCAGCGGCCAAACAAACTTACATGTGGACTTCATGGAATGTGGAAGGTTCAGGTATTGTGTCAACAGATCCAAAAAGAGATAAACAAAAAATGCCAAACGTGAACTGAAAGTGTTGAAACCATCATGTTCATGCAATTCTATGTACTGATGAGGGTCTGAAGAGATCTGATATTGCTCTGAGTGGCTGCTCCATGCTCTGCCATAGAGAGAAGCACGTGTTCAACAAATAAATTCATTCTCAGTCCCACTGACCACACAAACTTATGTAATTCACTTTTGTAGTAATCAGCTAAACAGGAAAAACAAAAGAAAGAATATCTATATTTTCACTTAAAGCTTTCAAAGTACCAATCTGTTGAGTTCTGAGAGGCACATACATGGAACTATTTATACTGTGGATTCATGTGCCATGTGTTATCTTACATACATAAATGTCAGAAGAGACAGTTGCTCTGCCTTCTGGTATGACTGTACATCACACCAGGAAGCCCTGAAGACAATCAACCCCAGGCATCCCTGAACAAGATTCCTAGAAAATGTATGTTTTATGAGGTATGGTTATAAATGAGATTTTATTTGCCATAAAAATAATGATCTCACAAATTGCTTTTCTGATCATATACAGATATCATAAAAGTAAGTATATAACACTATGCATCTCTGTAGTCAATCAAATTATTAACTTTTTATGGTACTATAAAATCATGACCAGATTATCTAATAACACATGATTACACTGTATAAGAATAGGCACATGTGCTTTCCTAATTCCCTTTCTTTTTAAAAATAAATAATATAGTAAAGTATTTTCTTCAATTAAAATATATATTAATTAATTTGTCTGTTTATTCTTCTCTCATGTATTGTATCCCGACAAGTTTCCCCTCCCTCCTCTCCTACCACATTCCTTCTCTCCCAGATCAATTCCTCCTTTATTTCCACTCAAAAAAAGCAGACCTCTCAGGGTGTTCGGGTATATACGTGTGTGTGTGTGTGTGTGTGTGTGTGTGTGTGTGTATACAGGTTGAGGGAATTTTTTATTCTGCTAAAATATGCATTAGTATTCCCATACTCTGATTGGGAAGTTGACCTTATTTGGTAGTAAAAGGAGCAGAAATAAACATAGTATAATAAGCATCCACAATACGTGAAAATTACAATTACATTCATTCTTGTGGCTACTTATAGAATATTTAAAAACTTGATAAACTTGTCTGTAATTTTAGAATAAGTAAAATTTTCATTCTTTGTTTTTAATGAATGAATCAGATAGTCTATATCTCTTGAACTTGAAGGAAGCTAATTTAGTGAAAAGATATGTATGCATTTTTTTTCAATTATTAGTTCTCTTTACTGTCTTCTATTCTCTTAAGAGCAAGAAAAAATGAATTATATAGGAAAATTCCAATTAAAACAGAAAATGTTACCATTGAACAAACTATAAATGTAGCAAAACTAAAATTATAAAAATTTGATACCACTGAAAATAGTGTGGGATCTAGGATGCTCATATAGTACTGTTTGGAAATAGTAACTAATTAATAGAAATCTGCTTAATTGTTCTAAGTCTAACCACACATAAGAATACCATTAGGCACAGAATTTTCCATCTGCAGCAAATACTATGATGTTGTACTATGATGATGTACAATGTGGCACAGATAACTTCTTGTCCATCTCTAGAGGCAAATAGGAAGAAATGTGTATATCTAATAGAGAGTTATTCTTCAGTCATAACTAATAATATTTATGCATTGTCATACAGATTTCAAAAGCAATAAGCATCTTTAAAAATACCCTAAAAAAGCCAGGTGATCATGGCACACACCTTTAATCTCAGCACTCAGGAGGCAGAAGCAGGCAGAAATCTGAGAGTTTGAGGCCAACCTAGTAACAAGAGCTAATTTCAGTACAGGCTTGACAGTTACAGTGAAACCCTGTTTCAAAAAACAAAAACAAAAAAATATTCTAAAATGATACTTATCTTGTGCTATCATTTATGTACTTTAATATATAGGACAATTATATACATTGTCAAATTCTCATATATCTGAATAAATATATCTGAAGACTCATATAGCTAAATAAACCTGTAAATGTGGATTAGAAGGACATTTCTTAAATACAGACACGTATATGTAAATGCACAAGCACATTACTGTCTGAAGTGTAATAAATGGCTTGAAATCATTTTAGTAATTACAATTAGAATAAAAGAGACTGTGTTACAGAGAAGGTTTGAAAAGGCTTTATTGAAGCAGTTAACTGATAAAAAGAGCCACAGCGAGTTCCTAGTTAAATTGTTAATGAATCCAGTCACAGGTCTTGAAGGAATCAGACCCTATGGAAGGTAAGACCAGGTGACATAATAAGTCACAAGGTTATCTAAGTCAGAAAAAGATGACATTTGAGTTAAAATCGTAGGGGAAAAGGGGGGAGATGCCATGACCTGTCAAGCCAACTTTATGACAGGTGCTCTGCACTGTCTGATGTGAGGTGTTAGTGTCCCTCCTTCTGTATGATCTAGGAGAGAGAGTTGTATCTTTCAAGTCCTAATTTTTATATGGTTTGGATATGTTTATGCCTGTGTGTTCCTGTTTTAATTCTGTAAGTTCATAGGTGGTAAGAGTATACTTGCATGAATAAATTAGCTATGAGTATGTTCTGTGACTTGTGTTGGACAGATGGAGGCTGTTTACTTGCATAAACAGGATACAGAAACATTCTGTCTCAGCAATCACACTAAAAATGGAGCCAATTTCTCTTTTGTAAAGCAGAATCATTTAGGGCAAGGGCCAGCTTGGATGCCACTGTTCCACACAAGATGAAGTAACATAACTCAGGATGTGGCCTGAGATCTACACGTGATAAAGCCAGGGGATCAGGATAGAGACACATAATGTGTATTACCTAAGACAAAAAAAGAAGAGAGTGATGGTTGCTTCTGTTTCCTGAATTCATGCAGATACACAACTTAATTCTGTGTATCTTAAGACCAAATAATTTGCTTTAAAACTAAAACTTAATGGCAAATCTTCTTGACTGTGTATAAACTGACATAGTGCTGTGGCTGAAGAGACAGTTCAAGTGATTAAGAACGTCTGATTTTGCAGACGACCCAAGTTCCATTGTCAGCATCCTTTGGGTGATTCACAACCATTTGTAACTCCAGATCCAGGGTGATGCAGTGCCCTGTTCTGGGCTCTGCAGGTACCCTGACATTTGCAGCATACAAACACATAGATCGACATATACATTTTAAATATTTATAATCTTTATCTTAGAATTTTAGAATTTACCCTAAATTGTAGTGGAGATTGTGGAAAGCAGATGAGATATCCACCCCTTCCCCACAATGAAGTCCCATGATTCAAGAAAAAGTTACATATGCCACCATAAAATGTCTACTTATGATTGCTGAAACTTCTGATTTTTTAAAGGAGATGTGAAATTTGACTGAAGATATTGTCTTCCAATCTTAAAACATTGAATGTATTAAAACATGATTATAAAAGAAAAATGTAGCCATCCATGTTGTACATACATAAAATGAGTCCATGTCAGATTCTTTAGTTAATTCGATGATAAAGGAAACATAACATGTAACTACTAATTCACAGGAAAATCAGTACAGTAGATGCACACCCAGATCATAAATGCTGGAATGAATTTGTTTAGTATGGGTAAGCTCAGTCAGTAGCCACAGAGAAATAACAATCAAGTCTATCTCCTCTGGACCAAATTTGCATTTCTATGGAACTGGAATTATTTGCACAGTTATCAGTTTTCTACAGCTCACAGAGTTGTGCAATAGTTCAAAGGCATGAAAAGAGATTTCCTAGAATCAGATAACCGAGGCAATGCTAGTTTTTTATTAGAAAAACAAAGTAACACTTTGTGATGAGCTTCTGAATGTTTCACACAACCTCGTGTTGTAGAGCATGAATCTATACTACAGATGTGTAGTCCATGGGTAAGGCTTTCTGTATTCCTGGTGCACCATGAAGAAACAAAGAATAATATTTGAATCTAGTGAAGGGCAAAGGGTCCACAAGAGTGTTGCCAAACTTCTTTGTAAAAATCTCCCCTTTTCCACTTTGTCATATTCTTATGTTGACTAGCACTTACATTATAGCTGTAAAAACTGTCAGATAAATGTGTAACAGAAATGCAGATGTTATTCACAGTATTGAAAAGGTGAAATGCAATATATAGAAATGCATGGCTGCCTGCACATTGAATAATTTAAGTCTTCTAACTGAACAAAGTCTGTCTAATAAGATCCAGGCTATCCTCTTCCATTGAGAAGGGTGAGAGCTTGTAGAAGAATGATATGATATAGGTAGAAGGTAAGTGGAGGAAGCAATAATGCTCCCTTTATAGACAGATTAGTTTGAAACTCTTACTAGTCACTAATCTGTGGATTCCCTATAAATGTTTTTCATGAATTATATTTTATTTTATTTTCTATTTGGGAGAGGTGGGATGATGTGGGAAGGTCATATGTCAATTTGTTGATTTCATTGGTTAATAAATAAACTGCCTTGGCCCATTTGATAGGCCAGCCCTTAGGTGGGTGGAGTAGACAGAACAGAATGCTGGAAAGAAGGGAAGTGAGCTCAGACACCATGCCTCTCCTCTCTGGTCAGACGCCATGAAGCTCCAGCCCAAGCTGGATGTACACTAGAATCTTTCTGGTAAGCCACCACTTCGTGGTTCTACACAGATTATTAGAAATGGGTTAGTCAAGAGGTAAGAGTTAGCTAAGAAGAGGCTGAAACTAATGGGCCAGGCAGTGTTTAAATGAATACAATTTGTGTGTTGTTATTTTGGGTCATAAGCTAGCTAGGCGGCTGGGAGCCAGGTGGCAGGAATGCAGCCTGCTGCTCCTTCTACAGTGGAAGGCACAAACACTCTATGGGATATATATGGATATAAGAGGACACCTGGTGGAAATTGGTTTTCTCCTTTCACTGTGTGAGTCCTGGAGATTGAGCACAAGTTCTCAAGCTTGCTTAGTAAAGCCGTTATCCAATGAGCCATCTAGCTGTCCCCTCCTACTATCACCGCCCCATTAAATTTTTAACAGTAGGTACAAACCTTTGATTCATTTCTTTTGCTTCAAAGATAATTGAATATATGGAAGATTTAGTTTTGCAATGTAGTGCCTAACCATTTTCTGAATCTAGCTATGTTCATGAGATTTACCCTTTTGAGATTATAGCTCAAAGAGAGCTGCTTTGTGTTTTTAGGATAACAGAGTTTTAAAAGTGCAGCCTACAGTGTGAGCTCATCTTTTTCTGGAAACCAGTGTTGGTATAAATCCTGAAACATTAACTTGAGCTAAGTTAATTCCAGTCTTGAATTTAAAATACCTACTTCATAAGCCTCCTCTCTATGGAGCAATAATTCCCGTGGACTCTAAACCATTTTGCAGGAAGTTAGGTGGGATAGGTAAATATACGATCTGAGTACCTATTTCTAGTACCTATTTAGCCTTCCTAGTAAAGTAATTTAATACTTGCATATTTGTGTTAATTTGAATGGCAGTAGGCACATTTAATCACTAGCAGAGAACTCGTTGTGTTAAGAGTAAATTTATTCTGACTTAATGTTTGTCGTGACTTGTAAGCTATCCATTTGCCCCAGTGTTTTGGTTTAAATCAGATTCATCTCTGTCTTACAGCAGAAATGATGTGAAAAAGCTCCAATGTGCTTCTTCAGCGATGTTTTCCTTTGGTCTTAAAACAAAGGTTTGTTCTGCTTTGATTTCTCACTTTCTACTCATCATTGGTGGCATTTTCAAGGCTGTCCACTGACCTGTCTATAGTCAATATGAGAAATTCTTACCTAAGCTGGCTTTTGCCTTAGAATTGGGTTTGTTCATGTCTTTGTGAGGAATTGCAGCAAAGCCTCCCAAGGCACAAGTTGTTTTGGGTAAGAATATTGTTCCCTGGCAGACTGCTTGAGGCCTCCAGGGATCTGAGCCTCCAAGCCAGCAGTGCTGCCTTTGGACATCGTGGGATGTCTTGCAGACCCCTTAGCCTCTGTACCCAAGAAATCAGTAGATTTACTCTCCCAGTGATAACAAGAAAGTGTCATTTTGGAAATGATCAGATTGCACTTTCTCTTTAACTACTGCTTAAATTCAGTTGTGATTGTAAAAGTTTAAAATTATCAGTATCTCTGCCTCTAAATTTTAGAAGCAAATAATGGGGAATCCATATTTCTTTTAAGTAAGAACAGGAAATGATGTGATATTGGCAATGAGAGCTGCTTTCTGTCCTAATATGAATTTTATATGAAGCACTAAGTACTGACAATTATGCATACATGCCACAGTTTGATTCTTGGCCAGTTCCTCTGTTCATGCTCATGCCGTGAGTGCTGCATCCATGCAGATTACATTCTCAGATTAGACCATTTGATTCTAAGCACAAATTGTAAACGTCCACTCCATGGTGAAGAGCAACCCCTCCACACTCGACAGATCACGGATGCTGCCTGTGTGCCATTCTGCCTTGTTTATTTTCTCTCTCATGCTCTCTCTCTCTTATCAAATTGCACAGAACTTTCTTGAAACAGGACACAGTTGTGAATTCTGTGTCAAATAATGGAACGGCTCTGTTTGTATGAACTAATCAGCTCGCTTATTAGGTTTGCCAATTAGTCTAAATTCTTCCTCATTACAGTAGACTTCAAGAGTGTAAACACTCTCCCCTAGTTAAAACCCCAAAGAATGTCAAGCTGAGCATTTATGATGCCTTTTTGCAAACAACGCAGCTGCAGTGGCGGCTTAAATAGCTTCCATGTGGCTCACCTCATCAGAATACAGAGTATGTTCATGTGAAACTTGGACGTTACTTAAACTCACCTCTGGGGCCATCGAGTTAAATGTTATTAAGACTATGAATCAGCTTCATTTCAGTTCCGTTGGTAGGTGGCCTTTTGTCCAGAAAGAACCTTGATTTAATGGCACTTTTATCTTTCGTAATTATATTCAATTTGTTAAGAAAAACAAACAAGGTAAATTACAACAATAAGATCCAGAGTCTTAACCTTTGCTGAATTGGAAAACTTCTCAGAAAATAACTTTGAGGCACCCTCAAATCCTTTACAATAAAAGGAAATCTCACTCTAGTTCCTCACATCTACAGACAGGAAATGGAATCTCAGTGTTGCCCTCTTTTCCCACTGCTGATGCCTTCAGTCTGAAAACCACAGGCTCCAGATTCCAGCCTGAAAGGAGCATGGGCTGCATCAGGGAAAAGCTTGGAGAAGAGACATCATGGTTGTTAATGTGGACATGCAGCCTGGCCTGCCCGGCTCTAACCTTCTCAATCAGCAGCCTTTTCTTACCTAATTACCGGATTCTGAGAGAACCTAATGAGGTGCTGTCAGATTTACATTGAAATTATTTTAAATGTTATCACAGTAGCCATGGTGATGATATATAAATGGACAAAATACCAAAGAGCTGGAGAAATGTCACCATTACACCCACATCCATTCGCTTTTAGCAAAGGCATGAAGTCAGCATATTGTAAGCTTTTTGTGTCCACAAGAAAGTGGGACTTTTTGGTTAAAACAATTGTGATGGAAATAGTTTAAATAATACTGTGAAGACAATCTTTATAATTTTAAAGTTCATTTATCTTTAAAAGATGGAACCTGGACCTTTGAAGGGAGATTGCACACCCATCCCCCCTACTCCCTACCCCTTCTTTCCTGTTGCTTCCTGGATGCAATGAGGTGAACTATTTCCTCCATGGTGTCTTTCTGGCACAATGTTTGAAGCAATACAAACAAGATTCTGGTCTATTTCTGCATTGCTTTCCAATTCCCCAAGCATTGCTAGTTGACTTTTTAGAGGCCTTGGAATGTAGGCTTTGTTACCAGAAGAATTAGTGATTTTGCTATGTTGATTATACTTTCTACAGCCACAAACTGCTACGGAGAGACTTAGCATGTGCATTTAGTTTTTTACAAAAAAAAATCTAGAAACAGCTGGCAATGGTGGCACATGCTTTTAATCCCAGCCCTTAGGAGGCAGAGGCAGGCAGATCTCTGAATTTGAGGCCAGCCTGGTCTAAAGAGCAAGTTCTGGAACCAACAAAACCACACAGAGATATCCCCTGCCCCCCCCCAAAAAAACAAAAACCTAGAAACAAAATAATTATCATAGTCACAAATTCCAGTTGTTAATGGAACTGCTACTTGTGCCTCTTGATTGTTTTAGATGTATTTTGTTTGCAATTGTATTTGCGTGTCCATGTGTGCACATAAGTATATGTGAGTGCAGGTACCCATGACTGGCATTGTATCCCTTACAGCTGGAGTTCTAAGTTGACAATTGTGAGCCATGTAACACGGGTGGGTGCTCTAAACAGAACCCAGTTCCTTTGTAAGAATAATAAGTGCGCTTAACCTGTGAGCCATCTCTGCAGCCCAAGAGCTGCCATTTATAAGCTTGAGGTTAAAGTTCACTTGAGGGAAACTTTCATAGTTCCATTGGTTAAAAAACAAAAATTCAGAACAAAGAGAACACTGTGGAATTTTTTACTTCCTTGGATGCTTTCTTTCATCTGTCATCACATCTATATCACAGAATCAAGACAAAACGTGAGCTGTTTCCATTTCTATATCTTCTGAAAGATAGTATTTCTTTAAACAAACATACCTTAGTCAGTCATCTTTTGTTCTGGTGATTCGGAATAGGCTTAAAGAATCTGTAGACCGTGTAGCATTGCCATTATACTTGTTGGTTCAGGGTGATTCACAAAATAGAGTCATTACAGTAGCTAAAAAAGACGAAAATTTATTTCTTTAGGTTCTAGAGGATGGAAATTCCAAGACAAAGTTTCTAGTTTAGGCTAATTCATAAATGTCACCCACAAGCCTTAAGTTGAAAGATTTGTTAGCTCATGTTACAACTGGGGGGAGGTGCAGTCTGGTGGAAGCAACTGAGGATGCTGAGGGTATATTTTGGAGAACTGGCCTAAAGTGAGTGATTTCTTCTACCACTGGCTTCCACCCTGATAGACTGTTTAACTGTGGGGCCAGACTAGCAATGTCAGCTGACCATCAGCTTCAACTTCTGAACTACATGCTAAACTATAAGCCTTTTGTTTAAACTGATTCTCTATGGTGCTGATTATCAACTTGACAGGACCTAGAAAGACCCAGAAGACAAGGATGTGAGCTTCGTCTAGATTAGGTCAGTTTCTGGCTTTGTTTGTGAGAGGACTATCTTGCTTTTGTCGGCCATTTTGTCACAGAAATGGGAAAAGTAAGCAAGTCAGCACCTTAGGTGTGTTGTCACAGTGAGGGAAAGCTGGGTAAGTAGAGTGAGTTTGAGACGTTGGCATCGCGCACAGCCTGTTCTTACTGTATCCTTCCATGAACACAAAGTCACCTCAGGAGGGCTGTAACCCTTGGACATAATCACTTCTCAGTACTGTGGGCTCATAATTTCAATGTATGAGTTTTAGAGACAAACAGTATTCAAACCATAGCAACTATGCCAGCTGGAAACGATGACAAATAGTGAAATTTGGCTCTTGCTCCTGTTTTTATGCTTGTATTTCTTTTCAACTCCACAGTGGCCAAATCTTCTAAGTCTGCATCCAAGTTGCCATGCAGGAAGAAACCAGACTGCAGAGAATAACCTACTCTTAAAAACATGTCAAGTTCCTACCATAAGACATATTCATAGGCTATTATATCTTTGCTTTTTAAATAATTTCATACGTACTGAAGTGCTTCCGCTAATGGAGATTGTTCATGCCTTGCTTTTTGTTAGTTGTATCCTGTGTAGTTGGTATAGACCACTGTAGTTATCAGTTTCAAACGAATTAAAATGAACATTCTTGTAGCCTTTTATCCATTTCTGCTCACCCAGATTTAGATAGAATACTATAAACTTGGTTGAGTTTCCAACTTATTAGAATTTAGAAGTTCAACAGTGCCACAGGAAGTTCTGCTGCAAAGATAAGCTTGGAATCCCTAGTCTCATAATAAAGGGGGTGCTGGGAAATATTGACTGGATGTAAGTCCTTGAATTAAAACAAGTTCCTTTTTCTTTGTTACTGTAACATCACTGTTGACAAATCAAGGCTCACAGTGATATCCCTAATTTATTGAGAAGTTGGAGCACAGATGGACTTCATTTATTGAGATGTTAAATCACAGATGGTTTTCAAGAACCACTTAAAGATACAATAGAGCATTTTCAAACTTTCTCCTGAGTTGAAATCTAATGAAAATTCTCACTTTTTCCTTCTTCCGTTCAGTTTTGTCTGCTGAGTATCCCTACTGCTTCCCGAGTTCGTCTCTGCATTTAGAAATTGTATGATAATGTTGGGTGTTCTGTCTTCTCCACAATACACATGGAACTTGAAGGATAACTAGGTTCAAGGTTTACAACATTCAACATTCACAGTGAGAGTCCAGATAAAGCACTGGCTAGCATTACACGGCCTAGATTAATGGAGGCGGGGGTGCTCCTCCTGTTTGTTGAGTATGTGACCACGGGCTGAGTTTACCTCCTTCTTTCTCAGTTTCTCAGGTATAAAAAGACAGAATAATTAAAAAATGCATTAGAATTCCTGTGACAATTGAACATATTTGTAATCCTAGAACAGTGTCAAGACTCATGCCAATTGTGTAAGAAATATGAGTCCTCATTATTACTAGACTTGAGATTTTATTAGTGTGAAATCGATAATAAATATTAAATGCCTCTGGGACATTTTATTTCTATTATTTATCTCCATATTATTAACTCCATAGAGAGAGTGACTACGTCTTTCTTTCTATACATTTTGCAGTCAGCTCTGGGTATTCACCATTTCCTTCACTGTGAACTCCACTGATCTTAGATTTAAAATAATATGAGAAAAAGTTGCAATGTGCTGATAATGCAGTGACTTTTTCTTGTCATGATCCCTGAAACAATAAGGTATAACAAATATTTACATAGCATTTGCATTGTGTTTTACACTAAAAGTAGTCTCGAAATGATTGAAAGTATAAGGAGAGGATGTTTGTAGGTTATATGCAAATGTTTGCCATTTTAATGTTAAGAAACTTGAGTATCCACAGATTTGGGCAATATGGGGGAATCCCAAAACCAATATCCTGCAGATACCAAGGGACAACTGTATTCACGTCTATGAATAAATAAATATAAAGAAGAATGACAATGGAAAGCATGAATAATAATAAGACAAAGATAAGTCTGTGGAATGCATTGATCTACTTGAGAATCTTTCATATCAACCCAGATTCAACTACTAGACCTGTGTGTGTGTGTGTGTGCACGCATGCAAATGCACATGATAATGTGTGTGTGTGTGTGTGTGTGTGCATGTATACAGAGGTCAGAGACAGACAAAGGGTGACTTCCTCAATTTCTTTCCACATTATTGTTCGAGATAGGGCCTTTTAGCTGCCTGTATTCCGTCAGTTAACTAAATTGACTGGCAAGTGAAGTCCAGGGATCCATCTGTCTCTACCTCTCATCACTGGAATTGCAGGTGTGCTCTGCTGTGCTTGCCTTTTTGCATGGGTGCTAGAGAGAGAAAGTTGGGTCCTAATGCTTTTTAAGAAAGCCTTTTTCCAGCTGCTAATTTTCCCAGCCCTTTTTATATATGACTTTTCAGTCTTTTTTTCTTCTTTTTTTTAAATATAATTTTTTATTGAAAAAAAATTTCCGCCTCCTCCCCGCCTCCCATTTCCCTCCCCGTCCCCCTTTTCCCCCCTCCTCCCTCTCCTCTCCCCCTCCCCCCACTCCTCTCCCCCTCCCTCTCCAGTCTGAGGGGCAGTCAGGGTTCCCTGCCCTGTGGAAAGTCCAAAGTCCTCCCCGCTCCATCCTGGTCTAGGAAGGTGGACATCCAAACTGGCTAGGCTCCCACAAAGCCAGAACATGAAGTAGGATCAAAACCCAGTGGCATTGTCCTTGGCTTCTCAGCAGCCCTCATT